TATAGAGGCCGAAAATGCCAAAGGGAAATCGGCCCACTATCTGAATCTGGCCGCAGGCCTTGACAAAAGAGGCGCAACTGCATCACCCGGGCCCCAACTGCATCGGGCCTGGGTTCAGGCACTGGGGCCCAGTCGCAGGCTGAAGGGAGGCCGCCCACACACAACACTGGCATATAGGCAAGCAGGGCGAGTGGGCAGGTATCCTTGGCCAATGCAGGCATTGCCGGCACGCTGCGCGAACGCGAGGTGCTGCGCAGTGTAAAGCTGCGTTGGGCATGAGGGAGACAGGCAGCGCTAATACGGTGGTGCACTGCCTGGGCGCAGGGCGCTGGCGGCCATAGCCGGGCTGCTGGCGGGCGCAGGAGAGGTGAGGGTGAAGGTGGTTCTTCGGAGGTGAAGGGTGCTGTGTGGGTAACAAGGGAGAGTGTGGGTGAAGAGGAGACGTACCTGGTGGAGGTGGAGGTCGGCATTGGTGTTGACATCATCACTCGCTAGTCGTCAAGTTGTCTGGTTGCTTCATAGCTGTAGTTGTAGAGATAGGCTGTAGAGTAGGTAGGGCGCCTGGCGCCATTCAAGAGAGAGAGCTACATTGAGTTATGCTGTTGGTTTTGCCCTGTTGGGCTTGGACATTGACTCATGATTCTTCTGTATCATTCTCAAATGGATGGTTACTCGGTTCCATTGTGCTATCTACTCTTGCTTTGACTACTTGGACTTCAGTGTGATTTTGCAATCTGGATTTCTGTGCTTCGTGCATACTCATGTTCCTTGCAATTTGGTATCGAAGCTGGTAAGGTTCGCCACTTACCTTTGGCACGCTGGCGTTATACAGACTTGGTGCGTTGATGATGCTTCTTCGCAGTTGGTTCTTGTGACGTCAGGCCATTGATAGGCGCACACCCTGGGTAGAGAGGGGTGCGCCGGAAGGCTAAGACGGCAGTGTATGCCGTGGTGACAGGCGGAATGTATGATTGGTGATGAGAGCATGCTGATGTGGCACTGCATTGCGTTGTGGGTGGTACCAAGGCCAAGGACCGGTCATCAAATGCCCACTCAGCTCAATTGGTGAGAAATCTGTGGTTGGGGGCAGCTATCTCCAGGTACG